ATATATATATGTTATTATGACCATTAATGGCATTAAAGTTGGAAACACTCCTAATAGAGTATCACCCAGGATTCTTTACACAGTGCGGAAATACTTTGCAAGCAAAAAACCGACTTGATGCTTCCAAGACACACCAATGACTTGATACTTCTATGACGTCTACAGTAACATACCTGTCGACTCAAAAGCTCGTCTTATCGCCACGATCAAAGCACGCAAGTCTATTTCATAATATTACACTAATAACTTACTTCATCAAAATAAATAATTAGTTACTTCTAAGATTTCTATGCCAAGTGCTACAGTAACATATAAAATTAAATAAATAGTTACTTCTAAGATTTCAGTGCCACACCACTGCAGTAACTTACCCGTAGACGATATCTTGGCCCTGTAGAGCTTATCAAGAAGATACTCCCCAAAACTATATTATATAGATAACTCCTAAGATACTCATACACTTATAATACTTGTTACTCCCAAGACACACTTATAATACTTGATACTCCCAAAACACACTAATAACTTAATTGATACCTCTAAGACCACTACACCATACCTGTAGACTCTATCTTGGCTCTGTACAGCTACAAGACTTCCACATCAATCTTATACCGTCACTAACAGTATACCATACCTGTAGACTCTATCCTTGGCTCTGTACAGCGAACAAAGACTTAACATGCAACTATACCTCCTACAGTAACATATCCCTGTAACTGCTATCTTGGCTTCTGTACAGCTAAAAGACCTTAGCATCATCAATCCTAACCTCTACAGTAACCATACCCGTCTGACCTCCTATGCTTGGCTCTCGTAACAGCTACAATGACTTACACATTCACTATACCTCTACAGTAACATACCTGTAGACTCTATCTTGGCTCTGTACAGCTACAAGACTTCCACATTCAACCACACCACTACAGTAACTTACCCATTGACTCTATCTTGGCTCTGTACAGCTACAAAACTTCCACATTCAACTATGCCACTACATTAACTTACCCGTTGACTCTATCTTGGCTCTTACGCTAAGACTTCCACTTCAACCATACCACTACAGTAACATACCCGTTGACTCTATCTTGGCTCTGTACAGCTACAAGACTTCCACATTCAACCATACCACTACAGTAACTTACCCGTTGATTCTATCTTTCTATCTTGGCTCTGTACAGCTACAAGACTTCCACATTCAACCATACCACTACAGTAACGTACCTGTTGACTCTATCTTGGCTCTGTACAGCTACAAGACTTCCACATTCAACCATACCACTACAGTAACATACCCGTTGACTCTATCTTGGCTCTGTAACACGTCCTACAAGACATTCCACACTTCAACCTCAACCAGCTAATAACATACGCCTTGACTCTATCTTGGCTTGCTGTCAACAGCTACAAGACCTTCCACATTCAACCATACTACTACGAGGTTAACTTACCCGTGTGACTACTGATCGTGGCGTCTGGTACTGATGCTATGTCGCCCAGCAGGTCCGTCCAGAACACTGTGTGCTCGGCGTAGTAGAAGTCGAGCGCGATGGTGTTGCGCAGACCCGTGACGAGGGAGGTCGCGTGCTGCCGCTGCCGCAACGAGATGCGACGAATCTCATGTCGGTTCGCAAACAGGATGTACGGTATCGAATCGTCTGCAAACGTCAGTCGCACGTTCGACTATATTTCATACCATTAAAGTGATTACATCACCCCGTAAGTAGTAAAAAATAAAAATAATATTTCCACTTTTTCACAAAATATAAGTAATTCTGTTCACTTTGTATGGTTAAATTGATGCATTATACTTCTTATTTTACTATATTGTTCGATGAGAACATACACTCGTGACTCATACATAGCCCATAGCAAGCAATTAATGTCAGGAACACTAATATCAAATCCTCCAAGTTTTTTGGATTTTTAACTAGTTGAGAAACAATCTTATCAGGTAAGAATTTGACGATACGTTTAGGCCCGTTAGTTCTTACTTTTAATGTAAAAAAATGGCAACAACATTTTTACAAATTTTACCATAGAAAATTCGTGACGTAGTCAATTTAATGTCATGCACGACTATATTTCATACCCTTTATGTCACACACGACTATATTAATAATTTCATACCCTCAATGTCCTTCATAGCAATGCCTCAATGTCACAAGCACATAATGTGAACAGTCGTCTGCAAACGTCACATGCTCAATGTCACGGCGATATTTCATACCCCCTGGCCCCATAACATCGCACGTCAGCGACTATGTTTCATGGCCTTAACGTCACATGCGCATTACATGAACATAGCCATCTGCAAATGTCACACGTTTAAGGTCACGCACAGGTGACCATTACGAGATGATGTGTGACGATGAGAACATGGCTGCAATCCATCATCATCGAAAAACACCGGGGCGAGACAAACTTACTCGTGGATTTACAGCTGAAGCCATCTGTATCAAGTTCGTAACCAGGGTAACAGTCGCACTTGTGGTGATCCTTGATCTCTATGCACTTCTGGCTGCAGACGCCCCAATGATTGCAGATGTCAGGAGCTGCGCGTGGAAACAACGAACACGGTCAGTTACGTTCGAATTTTATAATACGTATATAACACGTGTATACGTTTTGTAATATTTTAAGTTGAATTAATGCATTACGATCGTCGATCAGTACATTCATCATTACGATCGTCGATAGCACGGAAAAAACAGGCACAAAATTCTTCAATAAGATTTTTTGAAAATCTCAAAGCAAGGTCGACTGACATCGATGGAAAAGGTCGAGTTCAAAAAGCGCGGAAAGAATGGAAAAGGTTACGTTCGTCGATAAGATTTTTTTTTTATCTGGAAACAAGGGCACCATCGACTCTCATCAGTGGCAACGCTCGAGTTTAAACCATAAATAACTATATAATACAACTTCTACATAATGCGTTTCCAGAATTCATGAGCAATTTATTCATAACAAGATGTGGAGCAACTGAAGCCACGACTGCTGCTTCATTCGAAAACAAACACCGGGATAGTTCATTTCGATCGATGACATGGTTGGCATGACGATGACGGCGAGCTGGTCCGTCACTCACCTACGCAGTGCATGCGATCACTACTAATACCGGGTTATAAATGGTTTTCTTAAATTTTTATTTTATTTTTTTTAAATGCTTAATTTATTGTTAACTAGAGCACTCGGAGAGCGCAGACCTCCACCAAGGCAGCTCAATTCTCTCACTGTGAAAAATTT